ACCGCAAGCCCCGTTGGTTTTGTTCGGTGCAGTGGCCGGGCCCTTGTGGCTCAGCTACGTGTCGTTTCGGACCGGGTGTCACGGGCCCTTGTGGCTCGGTACCTTGGGGCCGTCTTGACGCATGTTTTGGCTTTGATTTCGTTAGATTCGGATTAGAAATGGGCATTATGTGACAGTTTTTGTGAAGCAATTTTGCACATAAATGTTCCAGTGAAAGAATTTGAGAAGTACTCAGACTTGGTTTTGTCTATGTGAAAAGCTTGTTGATATTTGATTGTTAAATTAAGAAGCATGAACTCAAATTGATTAGTTGGCTAGAAAAGTATGCCTAAAGAGTATGTTATGATTCATAGAGATTATTTGTCAAATTCCAAGTATTTGAAGTGTATAGAGCATGTTAGTCTTGAATGTTATTATCCAAAGAATGACTTTAAATTGACCAATTTGAGTTCCAAGTGTATGAGAATTATTTGCTAGTATTTGTCAAATTATGAATTTCAAGTATGACTATGTGTCCTTTGAGAGTTCATAGTAATATACAGGATTGAAGTATGTTGTACAGTAAATTGCATTCCAAGCATATCATGTTTTAAAAGTGCATAAGTGACCAACGTGAGCCTAAGTATTATTTTCCAAAACTAATGAGCATGTGAAAAGTCTTTATCTTGTTGCATTGAGAAGTTGTTGAGATGTGACATGCATAAGTTTGGTGCATGATATATATATATATATATATATATATATATATATATATATATATATATATATATATATATATATATATATATATATATATCAGTGAGGTTTTGGAAGACCCGTTGGGACTATTTCCTTTCGGAGTAAAAGAGAAAGTAACGAACATTGCGATCCGACAGATTTATCATGTAACGCGACGTATTCCCACGTTACAAGGTTGGAGACTGCCCGCCAGGCTTGGAATCCTGGTTAGGGGGTGTGCACACTAAAAGTACGATACCTGATTCCACAAAGAATGCAAGCAAGAAAGAAAGATAAAGAACCAAGAGAGTGGTTCTGTGGGCGAGTTGAGTATGTGGCCGGCTAGATTGCTGAGCCGGTTAGGTCCATTCACGATTCGTGAAGACCTACCTCCCCACGAGTTAGAGGTTCCGTAGTTACGGATGTGGCGGATGCACGAGATTGCACCGTACGCTAGGGCTTCGCTGCGACGGAGTACCTGCCTCGCACAAGAAGAGAAACAAGAAGTATGAGAAAGTTTGAACAAGAAAGAAATCTAGTCAAGAGACTCAAGAGAAAGAAAGCGAGTCATTGTGACTCTAAGAAACCTCCACAGAAAAGTATTCTATTTGACAAGCGAGTGTTGAGTATACTTATAGTATTGCACGAGTGTGGTTATACTTAGCTTCGTGCTAACGGGTGTTTTCCTACTTGTCTATGTGTTGTTTTGCAAAACCCCTTTCAGGTGAGCCCAGCGTTTGAGAGATGATCGTGTCAGACTAGCTTAGTAGATCTAGTAGTCTAAACTCTTATTATTATTATGATGTGTATTTGATGGATTGTAGACTTATGATATTCATGTTTGATGATAGACATCGGGTGTTTCTCCCCCTTATGACTTTAATAAAGTATTTGAATGTTAGTTTGGTTTAATAATTTAGTTCCATCCCTAGCCTGTGCAATCGCCATGTAGAGGCGGTTGTGGTAGTGACATTCCCACTAGTTTATTATTTAAGTTGTTTATCCGCTGCTTAGTTTATCTTGATTTTGGTTTTAGAACTGTAATTAAGTTTAAGAAAAGTGGCATGTTACATAACCTCTTCACTGACATCTTTCATCACTACGCCTGACTAGTTTATGGGAAGACAGCTGCGTCAACAAAAACCATAACCAAACCTTTAGTGGCTACCACAGTATTCACTGTAGCACGAACTGGGACAACAACATTACTGCCACCATGCAAAGCATCAAACCATTCATGAAATAACCGGGTAGCCGCATACCTTGTTTGAGACACTAGCCAAGAATGATTTTTCCAAATAACATCATTTCGATGCTTCCAAATAGTCCAACAAATAGCAACCCACCTCAGCTTGGTTTCGATATTATCCTTGGTAAGACGAGCAAAGAGCCAACTTACAAAATCCATTTCATCAGTTGGTAAAAAGCCTAGCTCAAAATCCTGCCACAAAGGTGAGACCTGCATGCAATTATAGAAGATGTGTTTAATTGTTTCAGGCGACTGTCTACATAGAGGACATAGGGTATCAACCTCCACATGCTTGCTCGCCAACGCCTTTAGCGTCGGTAAAACTATCCGGGCACATCGCCAAACAAAGTTCTTGACATTGGGTGGAAGCTTCAAATTCCATATCGTATTCCAACCAGTAGAGTTACCAGAATCATGAAAAGCCATGCCCAAAGCTGCACGTTAACCACCCTTAACTGTGTAAGAGTCGTAGACATCTCCCCTCCAACACCATTGATCGTCAAATTGAATAGAGACAGGGAGTTTTTTTTTTTTTTTTAATTAAATTAGTGTCCTGAGCCACAAACAAAGCATTAATCTTATCAATGTCCCAGTTTTTAGTTACCGAATGGAGAAGTGAACTCACTTTCAAATCTGCATTGTGATCCATGATAGGGGAGATAACGTAGGGATTATACACATCTGGAAGCCAGGGGTGAGACCAGATGTTAGTAGACTGCCCATTCTAATGCATCTAACATCTTTGACGTAGCGTTTCTTGACAAGCCATGATTGAACGCCAATAGTAATGCAAACCAATCAGCGCCCAGGAGGGAATAGGTGCGAATAAGTGCCCAGGAGGGAATATGCAAACTAATTAGCGCGCGACACGTGTCCAGATCTAATAGATTAAAAAAAAACGCGGTGATATTTTTGTAAATAATTGAACATCGAAGTGCAAGTAAAATCACTTACAAGTGCACCTACTTTCACCTATAAGTGCATGTAATTTTGTCTTGTTAACATTCACTTCCCGCAAACATTCATGCACCTGGGTGCACCTACTTATAACTATAGGTGCAACTACTTATAACTATAGGTGCAACTACTTTTACCTATAAGTGCATGTAATTTTGTCTTGTTAACATGCATTCACTTCCCGCACCCATTCATTCACCTAGGTGCACCTACTTATAAACTATATGTGCAACTACTTATAACTATAGGTACACTTAATTTCACCTATAAGTGCATGTAATTTTGTCTTGTTAACATTCACTTCCCGCAACGATTCATTCACCTAGATGCACATACTTATAACTATAGGTGCAACTACTTATAACTATAGATGCAACTACTTATAACAATAAGTGCACTTCGTATTGATCCTTAGTGTAAATTTTACTTGCACGTATAATACATTTTACTTGCACTTCGATATTCAAATATTTACGAAAATGTCACTGCATTTTTTTAATCCATTAGATCTGGACATGTGTCGCGCACTGATTGGTTCGCATATTCCTTCCTGGGAGCTTCATTCGCACCTGAGTGCAATTATATATATATATATATATATATATATATATATATATATATATATATATATATATATAGGGATGCACTCAGGTGCGAATAAGTGCCCAGGAAGAAATATGCGAACGAATCAGCGCGCGACACGTGTCCAGATCTAATAGCTTAAAAAAACGCGGTGGTATTTTCGTAAATAATTGAACATCGAAGTGCAAGTGAAAGCACTTACAAGTGCACCTACTTTCACCTATAAGTGCATGTAATTTTGCCTTATTAGCATTCACTTCCCGCAAACATTCATGCACATGGGTGTGCTTATAACTATAGGTGCACATGCTTTCACCTATAAATGCATGTAATTTTGTCTTCTTAACATTCATTGATCTGAGTTCAACGGATAGTAATATCCCTAAAAACCACTCGTAAACATTCATGCACCTAGGTGCAACTAATTAAAACTATGTGTGCAACTACTTAGAACTAAAGGTGCAACTACTTATGACTATAGGTGCACTTAGTATTGATGCTTAGTGTAAATTTTTACTTGCACCTATAATACATTTTACATGCACTTGCAATACATTTTACTTGCACTTCGATGTTCAATTATTTATGAAAATACCACCGCGCTTTTTAAAAAAAATCAGTGTTTCTCATCCATTAGATCTGGACACGTGGACGGACAGAATCCATTCCTATTTCGCTCCTGGGCGAAGTATTCGCATCTGAGTGCGATTCTATATATATATATATATATATATATATATATATATATATATATATATATATATATATATATATATATATATAGGATTATATTCAAATACAAACAATCCTTAAAATACAAACATGTGGATTGATTAGGATCGTTGGATTTTAGAATTGGATGGATAGGATTGATTTAATTATTTATGGAGATTTTAATTTACTATGCGCCTGTTTTTATGTTAGGGAGGGTAATTTTGATTTTTTACTATTGATGCAATCGGATCAAATTCTACAATCACGCCTCAATTCTCTCTCTCTCTCTCTCTCTCTCTCTCTCTCTCTATCTTCAGCGTACGTTGGCCGAACGAATCTCCCACGCCGTTGGATTCGCCTTCTTCATCAACAAGCCAAGCGCCACGGACCATCAGTTCTTAGTGTCGGCGAGGTACTTTATTCCGTTGTTTTCAATTTTTTGCATTTTTTTCTGGTGTTCTTGTGTATTGGTGCTCGTGTTGTTCCTTTTTGGTGTTTTTCGTGACTGTCGTCATCTTAGAGTGCTTGTGCGGGGGGTGGGGGTGTCGATGGGCGACAGATTTTTGTCCGGATTTAGGACGAAGGGTTTCGTTTTTGTTGGCTGATAAATCCATTAGGATTTTGGTTAGGTCTCTATATCTTTGTTTCTGTGTTCATGGGTCTGGGTTTCCGGGTGTGACCGGAATTACATCCAACCGTCTTCATAAACACCTTCACCATATTCAGGCATCCGGTGTTAATGTTGTCTCGCTGTTGGGTCTGGGTTGAATCGCAATTTTGTAATTTGTTATGTTGCATATCTGCTGGGTTCTTGTGTTTTTCGAATCAGTTGTTAGTCAATTCATTAAATAAAGCTATTTTTTCGAATTACTTTTTCCTTCTTTTCTCAAAATTAGAAAAGGGATACGGGGTATGGGAGAGGGGGGGTGCATTGGCAGAATTGCAACGTAGGGATATGGGGTATGGAAAAGATTGTCCGGATTTCTTTCGTAAAAGGAGATGCGTTGCCAGGGATGTATTCAAGTCCTACCATGTTTAAACCTCCTTAATTCTTGCTTAATATACTAATCATATCTATTCCTTATTTACGTTGTATAAGCATTCCCATTATTGCCCTTATTTACACTAAATTAGAATCTCCAATTAATTACTCTCCTTGCATCTAATCCATCCATCTAAACACATCCTATGGCTAGATTTTGTCCTCAAGTTTGTATTTTAAGGGAGTTTGCATGTGAATGCAACCCTATATATATATATATATATATATATATATATATATATATATATATATATATATATATATATAATAATATTAACATTTTTAAAAATGTAATTTTTTTTAATTTTTAAATACGAAAAAATTAATATTAATTGTAGATTTTTTTTTTTTGGAACTTTGAATTGAAAAAAAAAAAATCTACTGACCGCCACGTGGGGCCCGCCAACCTGCGTGGGGCGGACTTTGGTTGCATGAACCCTAGCTTGCGGGTTTTGTGGACCGACTCGCAAAAGCCCGCAAAAATTAGGCCCGAAAAATTTTGTATGTGCATCCCTTGGAAAATGACTTCCCCACAAAAGAGGGGAAGTCATTTTCCCTCAAAACATACATATTTCCCTTTGACTAATGCATCATTTTCCATTGACCTCATTTTTCCCCCTTTTGCCAAATACTGAAAACTCGGAAAACATTTTCCGAAAGTCATTTTCCGGATTTCCAAATGCACCCTAACCTCCAGCCTTGTTTGGCAAGAAGCGCAACATTAAATCTGTTCAAGTTCTTAAAACTCATACCCCCTTTGGCTTTTGATTCACACAAGCGGTTCCAAGCCATCCAACGTAAGTTACCACCACCGTGAGTACTGGATTCCCTCCAATACTTATTCATGATTCTCTCAAGGTGTTCGCAGAAGGAAACTGGGAGGTAATAGAGACTCATTGTATATGTAGGCAATGCTTGGGCAACACTTTTGATTAAGATTTCCTTTCCGGCTCTCGACAAGATTTTCTTCCGCCATCCCCCTAGCCTGTTACTCAATTTTTCTTCAATAAAAGAGAAGACAACTCTTTTATTCTTGCCAATGCCTAAAGGTAAGCCCAAGTACTTACCGATATTATCAGCTTGTGGCACATTGAAGACAATGGCAACCGAACTTCTGATAGTAGCATCAGCATTACGACTAAAAACTATGCAAGACTTACCAAAATTCACGGTTTGTCCCGACATACGTTCATAATCAATCAAACGTTGTTTAATAACCTCTGCTTCCTAAACCAATGCTTTAAGAAAAAGGAGGTTGTCATCTGCGTAAAATAAATGGGAGGTACTTGGTGCTCCTCTAGCTATCACACACGGGGAAAGACATTTGTTCCTTACTGCTTCCGATATTAAAAAAGACAAAACCCTTGGCACATAAGATAAATAAATACGGTGATAAATAATCACCTTGCCTGAGACCACGGGAAGGATAGATAAAATCAGTTAGACCACCGTTCACTCCCACATTCTAATGAACTGAGGTAACACAAAGCATAATAAGCTCAATCCAGCGCATATCAAAACCCAAACGTGTCATAACCTCCCTTAGAAATCCCGACTCCATTTTTTCATAGGCTTTCGCCATATCTAGTTTTAGAGAATTCCAACCCGTGTTTCCATCTCGCTTACGGTTCAAAAAATGAATCACCCCCGCAGCAATAAAAACATTATCCTTTATAAGCCGGCCTGGTACAAACGCACTTTGGGAACCAGAAATAAGTCCTTCAAGAACAACTTTTAGACGGTTAGACAACACCTTTGAGAGAATTTTATAAGATACGTTACAAAGGGCGATTGGCCGTAAATCACCCATTGAAATCGGAGCAGCCTTTTTTGGAACCAAAGTTATATATGCATCATTAAAGCCTTCCGGGAATACTCCATTGTTCGCACAATCAATTACAAATCGGGAAACATCCTGCCCAATTTCGCTCCAGAAATGTCGATAGAAAGCCGTGCTAAAACCATATAGCCCTGGAGACTTATCTGGAGCCATTGAAAATATTGCTTCGTTTACCTGGCCTCCTCCATCGTAAAATGACTCAAGAGTTTCATATTTTCCGCGGCTGACACCTTCGGACTAAAATCATCAAAAGAAGGGACCAAATTAAAGACATACCCCTGATAGTAAAGATATCCGTGTAATAGTCAGTACTCAGTAGCTAAATCGAGTAAAGCATCACCTTCGATCCATTGCCCCATCGAATTTTGTAACTTCGCGATTCTATTCTTCCTTTATCATTTAAAATAAATGCAAACTGGAACCAAACAAATTTATCATTTACAAACGGTGTTTACAAATCTTTTCGATTCTGATTCGTATTTATTATGATTTCCAGTTTCGATTTGAACCGCCGGTTCAAAATTTATTTATTTATTTATTTTTGTAAATTCAATTTTTTATTTTTAAAATAGTCTAAATGTAACAATTATTTTATTTTTTTTTATTTTTTTCCGGTTCTGCATCGTAACGAGAACCGTCTCTATTACTTCAGTTCAGTTGTTATAGTGTCTGGTTCGGTTCAAATAGAACAGTAATTATCCATACATATACGTAATAATTTGTTAAATAAAAAAAATAAATGAAATAATTATTTTAAGAATAAAAATGTCCATTTAAAAGCTAAAGGGAAGAAACTGCAACTTTTAAAATAATTAAGGTATAATTAAGGTGCAAAAGTGGCATGGTTCATACTTATTCCACGTCTTCACCGCCACGCCAAGGCATCATCTTTCATCTCCAAACACATCAATTCTCACTTCTCCAGTTCTCCTCCCTCACTTTAAACCTTGCAGCAAAACCCAGGCTTCTCTCTTCTCCAATGGCAAACCCCAGATGTTCAACACTCTTGCGGACCAAACCCCGCTCCAGATGTCCTCAATGCAGAGAAAGATCAAAGAAAGATCGGAACTTGAGGAGGCCTTCGAGTCTGCAGAGACCACATAGGAGATGCTCAAGGCTCTCCGGGACATGGAGGCCTGCTTTGATGAAACCGAGCTTGGCATGGCTTGCCTGAAAATGGGCCTCAAACTCGACCAAGAAGGTAAGGATCCTGAAAAGGCTCTGTCTTTTGCCAATAGGGCTTTGAACGCTTTGGATAGAGATGATAAAGTGTCTTTGCCTCTTGCCATGACTCTGCAGCTCATGGGCTCTGCTTGTTATAGTCTGAAAAGGTTTAACGATAGCTTGGGGTACCTTAATAGGGCTAAGAGGGTTTTGGGTCAATTAGAGAAATGGGGGGTCTTGTAGTGTTGAAGATTTTGGTCCTGTCCTCCATGCTGTGGAGCTTGAATTGAATTGTATAACACAAAGACAGCCATGGGGAGGAGGGAGGAGGCTCTTGTTAATCTCAGGAATTGAAGTCTTTGGAGTTAAAAGAGATGAGTTTGGAGGAAAACAGTAGAGAACTTGGCAAGGCTAATAGGGATTTGGTCAGTTTGTTGACATAATAACCGCAAAGTTACAAATTTAACTCTTTGTCAGAGCAACCTATTGGCCTTTTTGGATTGAACCGATTGGATATGGGCAACCTAGAAAGAGACCCTAATTAATCTGTTTGGAGTAAACAAAGGAGGGCAGGGCATTTCCATAGTTGTTGCATTATTGCTCATCTTCAATCCACTTTGCAGAAGCCAGGACAAGTAAATTCCATATAAAAGAAATACAAAATACGGTAGGGATTGTGATTGATAATTACAATCAATAAATAATAATTATAATAATGCAAAAGTTCTCCACTAATGCAGCTTTACTAAAAGTCTAAAACCATGTATGTTTGTCTTCTACTTTTCCAATTTTCTTTTGACAACAATAGTGTCTGTTCATTCTAATCATTCATTTCTTCCACAAAGAGAGAGAGAAGCAAATGGCTTACGCTGCTGTAACTTCGCTTATGGAAACACTCTATTTACATTTCTTGCAATCACAACCACGTTTGCCTATTGAAGATTTAGAGGCACAGATAAGAGATGGCAATGAAAATCTTGGCTTGCTGCAACAAATTGTTGTGGCTGAGATGAGAGAGATGGAGTTGGACGAAGAAGCCTCATCAAAGCGTCTTCGTATAAAGGCTTGCTTCCCCAGGCTTCATGGAATCTTCAATAATGAAGCTATTAAACAGACTGATTATTACCCCAAGAAGAAGAAGTTGATTAAAAGTGAAAAGCTGCTGCAGCTTGCAGATTTAGAAGCACAGATCAGAGATGCCAATGAAAATCTTGGCTTGCTGCAACAAATTGTTGAGGCTGAGATGAGAGAGATGGAGTTGGACGAAAAAGTGTCATCAAAGTGTGTTCGTATAAAGGCTTGCTTCCCTAGGCTTTATGGAAAGCAGCAAGCTGCTCGGGATAGTACACTATTGACTTCTCGGCTCAGGGAGATGGCTGAAGTGAAACAAAAGATAGTTTCTCTCCATGAAAATCTGGGCTTGCTGCAACAAAGTCTTGAGAAATCTGAGATCCCCTATGATGATGCTAGGGTGAGGGTGATGAAAGATTTAGAGGCACAGATCAGAGATGCATCGTTCGAATTGGAAGAAAGGATTGAGATGGAGTTGAGTACCATTTATCTAGCAAAGGACAACCTTCATATAGCTGCTTGTCTGCTCAGGCTTCATCAAAACTTCAATGAAGCAGAAAAACAGACTGAATACCAGATCAGGGAGGGTAATGAAAATCTTGGCTTGCTACAACAAATTGTTGAGGCTCAGATTAGAGAGATGGACGAAGCGTCATCATCGAAGCGTCCCCCCAGGTTTTATGGAAAGCAGCAGCTTGCTCGGCTCAGAGAGGTGGGTGAAGTCAAACAAAAGACGATGGTCTCTCTGCATGAAAATCTTGGCTTGCTGCAACAAATTGTTGAGGCTCAGATTAGAGTGATGGAGTCGGACGAAGAAGCGTCATCATCGGAGCGTCTTCGTATAGAGGCTTGTCACCCCAAGCTTTATGGAAAGGTTGCACGTAGAGTGATGGAGTTGGACGAAGAAGCGTCATCATCGAAGCGTCTTCATATAAAGGCTTGTCACCCCAGGCTTTATGGAAATCAGCAGCTTGCTCGGCTCAGAGAGGTGGGTGAAGTCAAACAAAAGATGATGGTCTCTCTCCATGAAAATCTTGGCTTGCTTCAGGACATTCTTCAGATATATAAGATTGGCAATGATGATGCGGGGGCGATGAAAGATTTAGAGGCAGCGATCAGATATGTATGGTTCAATGCCGAAGAAAGGATTGAGATGGAGTTGACTGCCATTTATCTAGCAAAGGATAGTCTTCTTCATATAACAGCTTGCCTGCTCAGGCTTCATGAAATCTTCATAGAAGCAGAAAAACAGACTGATTACCACAGGAATAAGTTGATTAGGCTTGCAAAGGTTTCACTCCTTGGTCGGATCCGACGAAGAGGACTGCTACAGCTTGTCAAAGGATCATCACTACATGATCTAGTACACAAGAAAATTATTGTGAGTAACGTTTCCAAAAACGTTGATGGTAGAATGGTCGGATGCGACAAGCTGTTCGAGAAGATATTGGATCAGATGCTCACGCAACAAACAACTAAGGGGAGACAAGTTGTTTCAATTGTTGGCATGGGAGGAATAGGCAAGACCACTTTAGCTCACAAAGTTTATGAACATCCGTCAATTGCTTCTTATTTTGACATGCGAGCATGGGTTACTGTATCCCAAGAGTATAACAGGGAACAAATGCTCCGATGCCTTATTGGTTGTGTTACTGCAGCATCAAGAGATGAACTCCATAAACAGAGCACTGACCAAGACCAATTAGCTGAACGCCTGCGTAAACACTTGAAGGAACAGAGATATTTGATAGTGATGGATGATATATGGAGCACTACTGCTTGGGATAGTGTGCAAAGATGCTTTCCAGATGATAATAATGGAAGCTGTATACTATTGACTTCTCGACTCAAAAAGGTGGGAGAATATGCTAGCTCAGGTAACTCTCCTCTTAACATGCCTTTTTTAGATGCCGATGAAAGTTGGAATCTCTTCTGCAAAGTCTTTGGTAAAACTGAATTCCTTCTTGTGTTTGAGGAAATTGGTAGAGACATAGTGAAGAAATGTAATGGATTACCTCTAGCTATTACTATAGTAGCTAGTCTTCTCTCCAAGACAGAAGAGGAGGAGAAGTGGAAGAATGTTGCAAAAAGTGTAATGGGTGATTCTAGTGATGCATGTTCCAGAATACTATATGTGAGTTACAATCAATTACCTCACCACTTAAAAGCCTGTTTTTTATATTTTGGAATTTTTGAAGAAGACTATGAGATCTCTGTGAAGAAGTTGGTTAGGTTGTGGGCGGCAGAGGGATTTTTGAGCACTATGAAGCATGTGAATTTGGAGAAAGTGGCTATGGAATGCTTGCAAGATCTTGTTGATAGAAGTCTCATTATAGTTAGCAAACATAGCTACAATGGCGAAATGAAGAGATTAAGGATCCATGATCTGTTGCGAGATTTGTGCTTGAGAGAAGCTAGACTTGAAAATCTCTTGAATGTCAATGGAGTTAAAAAACATTGTCGTTGGATAAGTCATACATCAAGATCTTTCTATAATGAAGTCATGTTTGAAGATGAGGGCTTTCACAAACCTCATTCCTTTCACTATTTTTGGAATGCAGATGTGAAACGTCTATTTTCACACTTCAAACTACTAAGAGTACTAGACATGAGTAATAGATTTTGGGATGATGGAGTTGTAGGCCTAAATGTGCTTGCAAATCTTGTTCATTTGAGATACTTTGCTTTGTATTCAATTGGCACTTTTGATGCAAAGCTCTTTGAGCATTGGAATAATATGCAAACTTTGATTAGTTGGGATGATTTTATATTGTATTCCTCTGAGCCATCTGGAATTTGGAAAATGCCACTATTAAGGAATTTATGCATTGGAAGAATTTGTTCATTAGAAACTCCGTCGGTTGTTTATAGAAACTTAGAGAATATATCTTGGTTGGACTCTAAGTTATGTACAAAGGATCTGTTTACAATGATTCCGAATTTAAAAACATTGGGAGTTGATGGTGGATACTGTGTTATTAGTCTAGATTGTTTTTATAATTTTGTGCACTTGGAGCAGCTTGAGAAACTAAGCATCAGAATGTGGAACCTTGTTATGTGTAGCATCCCATGGGCAACTAGTTTACCAAATCTTAAGAAGCTCAGCTTCTTGGAGTCCAATCTGCAGTGGAGTGAGTTGAGCTCTATTAGTATGTTACCTAATCTGGAGATTCTAAAATTGATAGATGCTTGTAAAGGCCCAGAGTGGGAGACATCTGATGGAGGGTTCCATCGATTGAAGAGGTTGGTAATTAAAAAAACAAATTTCCGATGCTGGAATGCTGTGGGTGACCATTTCCCTATGCTCGAATGTTTAGAGATAAGTGAGTGCTATGGGTTGAAAGAAATCCCTAGTGGTTTTGCCGATATCACCACACTAGCATTGATTCAGTTAAGCAAATGTAGTGATTCCCTTGTGGCTTCTGCAAAGTGGATTCAAGAAGAGCAAAACAGCAACTATGGAAATGATGCCCTCCTTGTTCGTTACTAAAATATTAAGGTCTCTTTCTATCCCTCTGGTATATCTCTCAACATTTAACATGCACTTCATGCTACTTGAATTTTTTATGGCTGATGGTTGCAATGGATAATCATCTATATGATCTAATTTCTCTATCTCATATTTCATTACCTATCTAACTGTTGTGTGTTCACCTTTTCTTTTTACTGAATTTTTTGTTTCCAGACTTAATGGTTTGAGGAGGAAGAGAGTGATGAATGAATAGCAGTATGTAGGTATGTTGTATGAGTACATATAACTGTACTAGTGTTTATTTTGTCTCAAATTAAAGAAAAATGGATCAATTAAGCTTATTTTGGTGTTTTCTTTGTCTCAGAAATCTGATGAATGGTGCTGCCATTGCATGGGAAAACAATTTTTATTTATTCATTTAAAGTCTCAGAAATCTGTTTTGTTAGTTTCTTTAAGTTTGCTTGTTTGTTTGTTTGTATGTAGAGATTTTGGTGGTGGGGAATTAGTTTGTATGTAGATATGATGGTTGCAATATATATAGCTGCTCTGCACTGCAATGAATAATCATTATCTCTTTAATTTTCTCTCATTTTTCTCTATCTATCTGCTTTATATATATATATATATATATATATATATATATATATATATATATATATATGAATGAATGTCTCTTTACTTATAAGTGGTTTGTTCACCATCCATGCACCCGCCTGGCCAGAGTTCAATTATTTTGTGGTAGCAAATTAGTATAGGTATAATTTGGTGTTTTAATTTTAATGGACAATTAAGAATTTACTATATATGGGAATTGAAGCTCAATCTATCACTAGTAAGTTGATGGATGGATAATCTGTTTAGATTCGGGCCGTGTGGCGTATGTGTATATATATATATATATATATATATATATATATATATGTTTCAGATCAGATCAGATAGGGATCTCAGCTCGTAGGTTGAGCAATACGTAAATGCAAGTATTTGCAAGAGTTTCCGATCAATTTTGTGGATATCACCACACTAGCATTTATTCAGTTGATCACCGCTCCGAACATGTGTAAGTGATATTAGCCCTTGCTTCACTTTTTCCCGTATAAAATGGCAGTCAACTTCAATATGCTTCGTCCGCTCGTGAAAGACCGGATTATTTGCGATGTGTATGGTAGCACAGTTATCACACCACAAATCTATCGGTAACTTCACTTCAACACCCACTTCTTTTAGAATGTTACGCACCCAGACTATTTCGCTTGCCGCATGAGCCATAGCCCGGTATTCTGATTCAGCACTTGAGCGCGACACCACATTCTGCTTCTTACTCTTCCACGAGACCAAGTTGCCTCCTACAAACACACAATAACCTGTCATAGACCTCCTGTCACCTGGTGAACCAGCCCAGTCTGCATCGGAGAACGCCTCAACACGCATGTACCTGTGGTCAGCATAAAGAATCCCTTTTCCAGGAGCACCTTTCAAATATTTCACAATCCGAACTGCCGCTTCCCAGTGAGTCTGGGTCGGTGCACTCATGAATTGACTAACCACACTCACTGGAAACACAATATCTAGACGGGTGATTGTGAGATAATTCAGTTTTCCCACTAACCTCCTGTACCTCTCCGGATCTTCAAACGGCTCCCCTTCTCCTGCCAATAACTTCACACCTTGATCCATGGGCGTATCACACGGTTTAGACCCAAGTAGCCCCGTGTCCCCGAGCAAGTCCAACACATATTTCCTCTGTGAGAGGAATATGCCCTTCTTAGAGCGTGCAACTTCGATTCCCAGAAAGTACTTCAACACTCCCAGATCTTTAGTATGAAATTCAGACCCGAGAAAGGACTTGAGTGCCTCGATCCCACTTGTATCACTGCCTGTAATTACAATATCATCTACATATACTATCAACAAAACACACCCATAGTTAGTATGTTTGTAAAAGACAGTATGATCATATGCACTTCTCTGCATTCCAAACTCAACAACCGCCTTGCTAAACCGCCCAAACCACGCACGCGGAGACTGCTTCAGCTTGCACACCTTCCCAGACTCCCCCTGAGCAACAAACCCTGGTGGTTGCTCCATATAAACTTCCTCACACAAGTAGCCATGTAAGAAAGCATTCTTCACATCAAGCTGATGCAAGGGCCAATGACTCGAGGCTGCCAAAGAGATAAATATCCGCACTTGGCCACTGGAGAGAACGTCTCGGTATAATCTATTCCATACGTCTGGGCGTACCCCTTGGCTACCAAGCATGCTTTGAGTCTCGCCACAGACCCATCCGGGTTCATTTTCACCACATACACCCATTTACACCCAATAGCAACCTTACCAGGAGGAAGCTGCACCAGATCCCAGGTCTGGTTCTCCTCAAGGGCGTCTATCTCCTCTACCATCGCACGCCTCCAACCTTCATGGGACATAGCCTGACTCAAAGATTTTGGAACAGGAACAGACTCTAACTGGGACACAAAAGCACGTGAAGACGCCGATAAATTGGTATATGACACAAAGGACGGAATGGGACGAACACAACGACGCGTACCTTTCCGAACGGCGATAGGAACATCTTGGTCTGTCGACGAAGATTCTGGTAAGGGAGGATTTACTGGTGGAATCGGTGGGGCTGCAAGCGTATCAACTTCTCTGGGCCGCCTGTGATAAACCTGCGTAACAGGAGGCCTAGAGTCCACTCCTACGGAGTCCGGGATAGTAACAACATATGTCAGAAAATCATCTGTCTCGGAACTACAACCAGACGAACT